TTCAGCCCCGCAGCTTTTATAGGTCCTGAGATGAAAGTGCGTGACAGACGCACACACAGACACGCAAACGCACAGACACACGGACACACAGACAATCTCTCGTCAATATGCGTTTTCGCATTGCATTGCTGCAAAAAACGCATAAAAACGGCTACCATCAACGCATTCGAATCCAAGTCTCTGAAGTCAATGGATTTCTACATTTCTGTTTTTTTCCTTAATTTTTATTTCACGTAATTAATGCACCAACCTCTTCAGTAGCTGCTGCCTGCAGGTGACTAAAAAATGAAGTCGACGTCAATTTTGTACTTTTTCCTTTATTATCATATCGAAGCAATAACTTCCGTTTTCCAGAAGGCGCTTCACCAGTTTTTCCAGAAGACTCCGGCTGCTGCCGTTCTGATTTTAAACTTCGCTGCCATTTCTTAAATATTAAAATACAAAAAAGCTACAAAGGGTCACAAATGCATAACAGAATGGTCGATAATTCCGCCTAACTCATAATCAGAGTCAGAATTTTGGGCTCATACTTTGCGGCAACATCGATACTTCCGATAAGCCAACCTTTCAAAAACGATTTAATTCAAGGTAATAGCAGTTCATAAGAAGCAGACAGTATCTTTTGAAACGAATACTTACTTTAATTTTGAAAAGACAGGCAATTAAACGCAAGGAATCATTATTTACCTTTTTCTTTCGACGTGCACGGAATCTGTCCGTTTTCGTTTTCTCTTCGTCTGCTTTAGGAGGCCCACTAGCATGTCTACGGACTTCTTCTGGCGCTAAAAGAACGTTCGCACTTGATGCCATAGGGCCTACTTCTTCTTTCTTGAGCGAAGGCATATTGCTTACAATGCGTACTTCTGGCTGCACCTGAAAACATGAGAGGTTCGTTTACTGTTTGAAAGCCTCAAGAAATATGAAATATTCTCGCTACTAAAAACCCTGAGACTTGAGTGCTTATTTCACTAACCAAATACATCAGCGGTAACAACTCAAAGTCCAGGGAGCACTAATTTTATGAACAGTTAGCGTTAACAGCTTGTCCGAGAATAGCGTTCACAGCCCGTCTGATAATGGCACAGGAAGTTCTGAAGTGTCGCGGAATCAAACATACTGGTGGCCTTAGCAAGTAAAGAAAATTTGCCGTTTATCTCACCGAGAGTAGCAATGAGACGTAAGGAAGGGAGGTGGGAAGAAACGTACAAAAACGCAATGCAAATTTAGCGCTGGAATGAAATTGTAATGAAAATACTCAACGACCCAAATGGGCCAAGCTAACAATCGCCCAACATCCATTACTAAGAAAGAAGTTAATCCCAGAAGAGGAGCTGATCGCTATATTTTGGCGTCTCCGTACTATTAGCCCAGTGTCTCTGATACGTTGGAAATATACCTCAGAGGGAATATAACGATAATGACTGAGAGCATCAAGCTTTTGAAACAGCGACAACATCAATTTCTTAATAGTTTCGTGCTTCTCGTTCTTTTTTTCCTCACTTCCTTCCTGAAACATCGCATTTTTCAAAGTGAAATATGAAGTAAAATCCAACGAAATCCTGGCAATTGACATGAATGAATCACTGAGAATGTTACCCCATAATTAATTTTCTGATAGTGTTCCTCGTACACTTCGGCAAGCGACTTTTTTGCTGCAGTTTCTTCTACAACTGGAGCACGATAGGATGTATTTGTTTCCAGTTTCCGCTCAGTCCTCACAACATCATCAAATGCCTATAAAATTTGCAAGCCGCATAAGATTTCGTTAAATTTCAAGTACATAATCAGGAGTTATAATCATAAGTGAAAGTTTCGCTCCTGCCCTCCTTTGTTTCTTATTTCCCTTCCATCCGCCCGCAACATTAAATATTCGCCACCCCAGCCATTAAAAAAATGAAGTGGATTTCAAAAAAAACAACCTTATCTTTGATCCTCTGAATTATCATAGCTTCCAGCTGGAAAGTTGAATCAACAGTGACGATTGGTGCTGAAAGAAATCTGTTTTATTATCATTTCAAAACATGTACAGCAATAAAGGAACTTTGCTCATGCGCTCATAATTCTTGTCCATTCGTCAGTGATCTTAGAAGTCAATTCTACATATTATTTAAAAATCAAAAAAAAAAGAAAGGAAAAACTCAGTTTCTTCATATTAATTTGTAACAGGCAGTAAAGATAGTTTAAAAAAAAATAATTTCAAAACTTTTCGAAAGGTGAAATACTAAAATACAAGTATCTTTTTAAAAAAATCATTTCACACACGCTGATTATTCACAAAAAGTTAACTGTAACTGTTTTTACTACTTCGTTTTCACATAAGCCTTCAAGCTTAATGGACCGAAGCATTCCAATTCAGATTTCATTTTTATTTTTGTTTTTACTTTTATCTTTTTACGACCTTTTCCATAATCATAAAATATCTAAAATTAAATGTCAGTACTTGCTTGGTTGCTTCGATCAGTTTTAATTCATAGGCTCCTCTCCAGCTATGCAGCCATAAATTTCTCAGTGCCTACTTTGGCTAATGCTACATCGTCTGCTTGGGAGCCGTTGCAAATCCTGATGTTCATCCCAAATCTTTAAGAAAGTACTTGCCTAGCGCTTCTTAAAAAAAAAAAAAAACATCTGGCAAAGATTTACTCAATTCGAGAAGTCCTTACTACACACTGAGCGGTAGCACCATTTCGCCCTAGCGTTGTCACTTCCCGACTACGATGAGGCATCTTACCTACCATAGGAGTTAGCTTGGCTAAGTTTTTGCCAATATCAAACAAAAATTACTGAAATCTTTTAGACCGAAAAAGCTTTGAAAATTATTTTATAATATTCCACAGAAATATAGCATCCAAGAAAAAAACAGATGAGCAGAAAGTCTAAAACAAATAGTGTAATCAAAAAATAATTAACTTAATTGCTGATTCTGGCTAAGTATCAACGATAAGTTCCTGGCTTAGTATACCTTTCGGTGCTGATTGGTCAAAATCAAAATGTTTTTCCAACATAGTATTTTCCTCTCGTTCCATAGCCGTAACTTCACCGCTCATCTCCCAACTTCTTGGAGCCAAATTTGCAGCTTCGATCGATGCTATTCTTTCTTTCAGCTACAATTTAGCAATCACTTTTTTTTTTTTTTAATAAAAAACGCAACTTCAATACGCAAAAAGAACTAATCTTGCTTTTGATAAGAAACAGAAGTGATAAATCCGTCTAAAATGATTCTGCTTTTCCCGAATTTGTACCCCTTTTGCTTTAAAATAGCACTTTAACTGTTTCAAAGTTAAATCTATTTTTTAAAAGATCACTGGTTCATTTCTGGCATTAACTAACACTTCTTAGCAAATTTTACCCTCCTTCACTCCAACTCAGAATTTGCATTTCTTGCTCAAAACTGGGCAGTTTTAAAATTTTTTTCGGAATAAAAATAACGGTCAGATCCATTTTTGCGTATGTTTATTGCTTGGATAGGTAAGCTTAATTTTTTAGAATACACAAATTCACTTCCGACAGGCCAAATAGTATTTCTAATTTACTAAGTAGTCAAAAGCTGTATTAGCACCAGCAGCAGTGTCAACCAAATCCGACACGCAACTGACTAGGGAATAAACATTCCTCTATAAATATTAATTAAATTAGTGAAAAATTTTTTTCCCGTAAGTCTTCAGCGAATTGCTCTGAACTAACTTTTTTCTGCCGTCGCTGAAATTCAGTTTCTTGCTCTCCATCACTTTCGTTTTCCACTTTACCAAGAAGCACTGGGTCTCCTGCAACATTAATTTGAATGTAAATTTGGATAATGCAATTCAAATTAAAGCAATCGTTTTTATGTGTATTTTGCAACTATGCAATGCAGAAAACGCATATTGACAAGGGATTGTCTGTGTGTGTTTGTATGTGTGTCTGTGTGTTCGTCTACACCGATTTTTCATCTCGAGACCCACAAAAGCTACGGGGCGGAAATTTTGGGAACTTAATCTACATGCATTTACGGGCCCCCAACCCCAAAACGGGCGCTCCTACCCACGTAGTACCCATGTATGGGCTCGTCAAAGTTTTTTATGGGTAAGTTACAAACTCGGGAACCAGAGAAGCTCGAAAGCTAAGATTTTAAGGAGATGTTTCCTGAAAGTTCTGGCGGCCAATCTTAATTTATTTAGCTAGAAGTATCTGCTGGAAAAATCGGTGCCAGTAGCGACAAAAACTGCAGGAAACTATGCAAAAAACGCATCTTCGCATGGGCAGCCTGTGCGTTGGCTAATTATTATAAAACCAAAAATGACTGACACCAAAACAAACTTCGTAGGCCAGTGTCATCATCTCCAACATCTTCACTTTCAACGCCATCAGCGCGGCGAGTGCTATTATTACCGAATTTTTTCCCATCGTCATCATCGCCGTCATCATTACTGCTGTCATCGAATTCGTCGGCAAAAGTGACTTTTTTCTTCACGCTACTTTGCAATCCAACAGCATGCTGTATTAAAAAGACACATTATGCTGCCATAACGTATTATCATCAGCAAATATCAATGTAAATATAAATAAATGGCAAGTGCACCGACTGCCGATACGAAGATGCGTTTTTTGCAATAATCTTTCGCAGTCTTGTCGCTAATAGCACCGGTTTTTCCGGCAAATGCTTCTGGCTAAGAGAAATGAGACTGTCACCAGGACTATCCAAAAATATCCATTCAAAATTTCAGTTTTCTAGCTCCTCTGGTTTCCGAGTTAGCAACTTACCCGCAAAAAACTTTTACGGGCCCGTAATTGGGGACCAAGCATACCCGAAGGCTGGGTTTGAACTTATTAATACCTAATTGGACGGGGAACATCCCCTTAAAATTCCAGTCTTGTGGCTTTTCGGGTTCCCGAGTTAGCAACTTGCCCGAAAAAACTTTGGCGGGCCCATACATGGGTATGGCGCGTGTAAGAGAGTCAGATTTGAAGATGACGGCCTGTACGTGCATGTAGATTAAGTTCCCAAAATTTCAGCCCTGTAGCTTCTTGTAGGTCACGAGATGAAACATCGGTATATATATATATATATATATATATATATATATATATATACACACACACACACACACATACACACATACACACAGACATCCCCTCGTCAATATGCGTTTTTTGCAGTGCATAGATGCAAAATACGCATAATAAAAAATATCAAAATATGAATATCAATAAAAAATGACATTAATACAATGAATGAATTGTTTCTGTACTTCAATTATGATCTGCCTCTTAATTCGCCCAATTTTCAGCTTATTTCGAGCATTGCAAAAATGAATCTTGGCTCAAACCTTTTTTAGTTTATTTGATTTCTCTGTATTACTTTCCATGACAAACTCATTTGGGCCCTCTTCATTTCCAAAAAAGTCTGCGTAGTGGTAATCAGCTTCAGCGTTTGACGAATCTCCAGCATTCTGCAAAAACTGGAATAGGACAAATCATACGAAGGCTGAATCACTGGCAACAAGAGATTAACCGGGATAACAGAATACATTTGCATTGAGGGTATCTGCAATTGCCAAGCGATTCTGTAGAAGAATCATTGTGTAGAAGCACTAATCCCGCTGCGAGAACAAACGAACGTCAAGATCATGGAAAGACTGATTATCAAGTGATACAGGATTGGTGAAAGCAACTGGAAAAGTTGTCAGCTGCGAAGATAGAGCGTTGCGTTATAAAAACAACAGTTTTTTTTTCAGGTATTCTAGATAAAACTAAGATTTGCCCTAAAAAAGCATTTTATCACAGTCGAATTATTTTTTAAACCGCACAAGGTCTAGCGCACCAAGCTTCAGTACCTCCTGCTGGTCAAATTTTGTAACCCAGGACTTTCTTTTTTCCATCAAATTCTATGGAACTCGCAAATGTTCTTATATTTTGACCCTATTAAATCCAACCTTTTAACGTTACTGCAAATGAGGAAAAGTTTTTGCGTGTATATAAATCACCACAAAAAGGCAGTACGGGCCTGAAGGGCCCTGTGAGGAAAAGAAGGGGCCGGAACAGCGGCCCCATAGCTAAGGGTATTACCCGGATGGGCGCCGAAATTCGTGCCTGAAATGGGAAAGCGCCGTGGCGAGGGACGGGGGGAGGGGGGGGGGCAATCGCCTAATGCCTGTGCTGGTAATGAATGAAAGAAAATAAAAAGGGTTCAGATTGTTGTGATGAACATTTTTTTAAAAAATAAGTCAAGGTGGAATTTAAAGGAAGTCATGTGAAGAGCTGTATGTACAAAAAGCCTGCCTGTGTTTCATCCCCAAGCTGTAAACACAGACAGCACACGATGTGATTAGGGGCGGGAATCATCAGTACAATCCTACATCCAAATTAGCGGCGATAAATCTACAAAACACACTGAAACTTGTACCTCGTCATACTGCTCGAAAAGATTCTCATCTACATCAGCTCCGCTTTTTTCCTGTCTTTCCAAGTACTCTTCCATTTCGGCCAGTGAGAAAAACCGATCGTCAACCGCGCTTTTCCATCGCTTCTTGGGAGGAGCGTCTGATTCCTTAGGTACAAGGCTTGCTTCACTGGTCATCTCATCGTCATCATCTTCCTCACTCTCGTCGCGCTCAAGATCCTTAAAAAATAAAGCTGTTTTTTTTTTCTGAAAAAATAAAAACTAAAAAAAGAAAACCGTTTCAAATGCAATTTCCGCACGTTAGAACAGTACTGTGGCTAGTTTAAATAATATAAATGAAAGAAATTCCCAAACGAAATCAAGAAAAGTAGCACAGCTGTAACAATGCCGTTTATCACAACTGTCACAGCGCACCAGAATATATTTCCTGTGATGTGTAACACAAATTAAGCTTAATTACTTATTTTTTCAAAGATCCTGTCGGCGCCTACAGCCATCTTAATGCTCATATAATTCAACTTCAATTGAACTCGCTTCACGGCAAATAAAAAAGATCCAGAATGCCTCAATCAAAACGATTCACAAGCCTTTAGTGAGTCGATAACTTGCCAAGGAACCCACTCCTCTTTCGTCCCCCACCGCTCTTTTGGGTTACTTACGTGCCGTGAACCCCTAGCATAAGAGACAGTAGATGAATGCAGAAAAAATGTGGAAACATCAAATTTTCAAACTTCAAAACTACTTGAGAAACGGAGGTTTAAGTGGTGGACACTAGTGAATATTTCTAAGACATACTCTTATCTGTTTTTCTGATAAGTTGAACAGATCTACGTCACACTCATCGCTCGACTCAGCATCATCATCGTCACTCGGTTCAGTCCTTTCATCGACTTTTTTCGAGAAATCACTTTTTGGATTTGTCCTATTCATTTGTGGCACTTCGACATCCAACAGTTCCTGAACATTTCATTCCAACGCTGAATAAAAACTGGAGAGATTGGCAGTTTATTTTTAGAGCCAAAATACAGTTTCAAATTTGCTTATTTGGAAGTCGATACATCTAGGGCAGTTTGAATCGATTTCATGCTGCATCTTATATGCAAAATCATCCTCGACTTAGCAGTAATAATACGCCGTCTTATGCACGTCCTAGTTATGCCACCCGGTACCCGTTCAGCCCCTACATTTCCAAATTCCATCCGCCCAAAGGGCCCAAGCGACCCGTGGGGTCTTTTTCTTACTCGAGACTCAGTAAAGGGTTCTGCAGGCTAATGATTGCTGGTATTAAAACGCTGGTGTTCAAATTATCTCAAAGTAAATCCCACCTGTACAGAAAGCGAATAAAGGAGATTTGGAGAAGTAAGGAGTAAAAAGAACAAGAATCTTGGAAGGCAAGTTTGAATACCTTCCTTTTCGCACAATAACGTAGGAATTTCCTGTTGCCATAAGCGATCTGCTGCCAAATAGTTTCGCTGTCACTTGTAAAAAGTTCCTCGGATATTGTCGGAACTGCCAGATCAATACCGTTTACGAAAGCGTAAACTTTTTCAATACTGCTTACCAAAAATTTTTGCTCACCACGGCTAAAAAAAGTTGTAAAATTATAATTTTTTGAATACTAAGATATCTGTAGAACGGCGATTCCGCACCAACAATCGAGAGCGCTAAAAAAGACCCGCAAGGAGACATTACATAATCGCATATAGTGTCTTTTCTTGTTAAAATCCAAGATTTTTTATTTTATTTTATTTTTTTTTTTTTTTTGAAGAGACTAAAAAACGAAATTCCGAACGAAAATGCTCTAATGATCAAAAGGCATTTTTTTTTTTCAATATTCAAAAATTGTTAGATGATGAAAGCAAAAAATTATACCGATTCCATAACTGTTGCGGGCCATCCAATATCGGCCACATGGTCAAAATGGATTTTTCCTTCTTTCCTGAACATTGTTCCTCATCGTCGATTTTTCGATCACTTTTCGCCTGATTCTTATCACCGATTTTTGAGCCATTTTTCGAAATCTGACTTTCCACACCCTGCCCTTTACCAGCTGTTTCTTGACGATCGACAGCTTCTGATGTTGCTGCTGATTCCAGTGCATTTTCACCCACACTCTTATCCGATTTCAATTGGATTTCCATAGGGCTGAAACATACAACTTATTATTATCCTCGCAGAAATACTGCAAAGGCGATTAGACTCGCCAAGGTCATTTCCTAGAATCTGGTCGAACGACCCAAAGTACCGTAGAAAATTTGATTTGCTTTCACAGCCTTAATCAAAACCTAATTCCCTCATCTACAAAACTCAATGAGTCAGCCTGCAAGATAATGTACTAAATAAAGTCAAAAGACAAAAGCCACATATAAGAAAATGGAGGCATACCTCAATTTGATGACAAAATCGGTAATTTTGGATGAATCTTGGCTAAGCTGAATTGATGGCAGCTCTGCTGGCAAGCTGTTGTCGGGTATTTTACTGCTCTTTGGTGTTCTACCCTTTTTATCATCGTTGCTTTCCAAAAAGTTCTTTTCCCCAACAACAGTATCGTTGCTTTTCGGTTGTTCTTCAGCAATTTCTTCAAGCTTCGAAGCCATTGAGGCCCTTTTTCTGCGTGGTGTTGATGCGCATGCCCGCTTCTAAAGAAATCAGAAATTAAACACGGTACGCTTAAATTTATTTCATAAATAGCTGAATTTCTGATTTGCTTAGAACTGGAAAACTTAACAGTTGACAATAAAATTAACTCACTTTTTTAGGCGTAGCAGCAGCATGAACAACGGGCACTGTGTCTGAAAATCCACAGCCATTAATAACAAAAAATGATGGAAAAAAAATTAAAAAATAGCGCAGCATAAGAATAAATAGAAATGTGATAGAGCTGCGGCCAAACGAACCAGCAAAACGCTTGGTGTGCCAAAGATGAATAGCTTATACTCGTTGCAGTCTAAGTAAGGCACACGCACCGCACTATCACAAAGTAATCGGCCAACGCACGTGCTGTCCGTGCGAAGATGCGTTTTTTGCATAGCTCCCCGCAGATTTTTGTCGCTAGCGGCACTGGTTTTTCCGGCAGATGTTTCTAGCTAAAAGAATTTCAGACTGGCTACCAGGACTGTCAGGAAACATCACTTCAAAATTCCAGTCTTCTAGCTCCTCAGACTCCCGATTTAGCAACTTACCCGAAAAAAATTTTCACGAGCCCGCACGTGGGTACCACGCGGGTAAGAGTGCCCATTTTGGGGATGGGAGCCCGTACATGTATGTATATTAAGTTCCCAAAGTTT